AAACAAAACAGAAGAAAGTACACTTGTTTGGATAGATTATGCTAATAAAGTTCAGGTTTGTGCCCCAGCTGTGCTGATTTGCCATGCTCCGTCTTGGTCATCGACTCTTACTCCAGGCCAGCTTTCTTACAGACGTGAGCTACAGGACAAAGGGGCCCGAGCGGGGCGTTTGGAAAATCAGCCAACACTGGGATTGGAAAAACAAGCAAAGGCGATGGCACGTGTGTAGTTACTATACTGTTGTACAGGCATCTCGTGGTTTGAAAACAACTTTTCTAATAAATCACTGATGGTGATTTCTGAGAATCACTGGGTATACGAATAAAGTCAATTTTATAATTATAATGTACAAAAGATGATGTGTTTACTACATCTGTAACATTTTATTTTCAAATTAAACTTTAAAATCAAGGCCATCCATCTTAAAATGGTATCATAAATCAAAATGAGACTACTTAGAACCTAGTGGTCACACCATTGTCAAAGTCCAATTATATAATGGTCATTTTATAAACACAACCAAAGCCCTCAGGGTACGTCACAAGGGGATGTTGCCTTTTCTAGACTGAAGTCACTTGGCATCAACTTCATTTTAAAAGGCTCCTAAGGTGTGGTAATATCTGTGACTCATGAATTGTCCTTTCATTGCTGTACCCATTACGATTTCCACAATTAAGCGAGCTGTTAGTCTTACTTCACTTGTTTACTGCACACAAATAGCCTTACAGTAAATATCGTGTTTATTTAATTTGTTTTTTTTAAAGATTGGCCCTGAGCTAGTATCTGTTGCCAATCTTTTTTATTTCCTTCTCCCCAAATCCCCCAGTACGTAGTTGTGTATTCTAGCTGTAGGTCCTCCTAGTTCTGCTCTGTGGGCCGCCGCCTCAGCATGGCCTGAGGAATGGTGTGTAGGTCCACACCCAGGATCCAAACCAGTAAAACCTAGGCTGCCGAAGCAGAGCACACAAGCTTAACCACTTGGCTACAGGTCCGGCCCCAAATATCATGTTTATTAAGGCAAATTAGTTGGATCCACTTGCCAGATATGACCCAAAAAAGATGGGGGGAGAGAAGCTAGTATCATTAAATCAATAGTTCCATTTACAAAAAGGAGGGTGAAGAGAAGGAAAGGTGGCTTTATCCAGTGCGGCAGGAATGCCAGAGTAAGAACTCCTCTGAGAAACGGGCTCTCTCAGTACTCTGCAAGGGAGGACGCTGCAAAGGGAGACCCTGAGGGCCTCTCTATGACTGAAAAGATGAGAGCACAGGCTCGGGGAGGGCAGGGAAAGAAGGCAGGGGGCCAGGTGGGCAAGAAGGCTGTTCAGGATGATAACAGAGGAAATCGACAGGTGAACTCAGGCAATCAGTGTCCTCCTCTGCAAAATGAGATCGGTGAACTAGGAGGTCTGAAGCCTCCCTTTGAATTTTCCAAGTGCATGATTTTATGATTGGCATTGTATGGAATATGTGCCGTGCAAAGGGCGTGGGAGTCACGCAGACCTGGATCCCATCCCTGGTCCATACCAGGAAGGCCAGGTCCCCCAGCCTCTCCAAGTCTCAGTGTCCTCTGGAGCCTGGAAGCGGAGAAGGGCAGCAGACAGGCAGTCAGTCCCCTCCTGGGAGAAGCCCAAGGATGGATCCAGCACTCCTAACTACCTTCATTTTTTCCTAAGTAAGAGCATCTGGAACAAATTTAATGCTCAACTGTACATAAGCAGCATACATTTCATTTCCTATACACCACATGCTGTACGTGCTGCTTGGGATAAAACGTTCTCTTCTGCGTTTTGACATGGTCCGCTACTTTAGAGTACAGACTTAATGTTACACCTTCCCCGGGACCTTTGAAAGAGGCCTGTCAAAATATCTAGGAGCCAAAAGGAAGGCAGGTGTGCAGCACACACGCTGGAGAAGCAGAGACTCTGTAACCATAACTTGCTTTTATCAAGACTCTCAGATCCAATGACAGTTATTCCAGGACTATGAAAAAAGTGCAGGAAAATGGGCCCTTTTGAGTGAAAACAACTCAAGAGAATACCCAGGTGTGAAGCAAAGCCAACCTTCAGCAACAGGGAGAAGGTGGAAAGGCTGGTGTGGAGGCACCTGCTCCTACTTCCCCTTTCATCTCTGCCTCTGTGCTCCCCGCCCCGAGCCACAGCCCCACACCTAATCAGCACCCGGCACGGACGCCACAGTCTTCAAAGCACCCCTCCCTAAACTCCAGTCCTTTGGGACAGCTTTTGGGGAAGAAACTGCCCTCATAATTTAACCCACACTAAACGTTAAAATCTGATGACGGCTCAACTCTTCCTTTCCTGAGGTATTTTATTTTCATTTTAGAAGACTTCTGGACAGAAGGTGTCAATGTCGAAGCACTAAATCTCCAGTAACAGATTTTCAGGTCAACTGGGCAAAAGTTTGAGGGATGAGGCCACGGGTTTTTCAGTTTTTGAAATAGGTGTAGATATCTGAGCCATAATTCAGTGGCAAATTGTGGCAACCATTAACCCTGCTTTTATTTCTCCGTATTGGCTGCTGAGTTTTGTCTGGGGAAAGGGAGGGGATGCGGTTGAGAGGATATTGTTATGTCGTGGCCATGCTCATTTTTCGCTTTTATCTTCTCCATCAGTCTCCTCCTGGTCTGGTCAACTATCAGTACGCCTTCATCATGCCAGAAAACTATACTATACTTAAACTTATGTCCAGATTGGGCTACAGAGAAGTGGTCCAAATTCATCATCCTTGGGTTTGTATTCCAGTCAGTCTACTGCCTGGTGAGTATTCTACTCTTCACATTTAACATCTTATTTTTAGACAGTTACCAAGTTGGCAGGGTTTCTCAACTCTAGCACTATTAACAACTAGGGACAGAAGATTCTTTGCTGGGGGATTAGGGAGGTATCCTCTGCATTGTAGGACGTTTAACAGCATCCTTGGCCTCAGCCTACTAGAGGCCAGTAGCAACCTTCCAGGAATGACAACCAAAACTGTCTCCAGGCATGCCAAATGTCCCCTAGGGCCAAAGTCACCCCCATTTGAGAACCAGAGTCAAAATAAGATTACAAAAATGGCAGCCCAACTCATAGGTGGGAACAAAAAGTTAACAATTGTTTTTATGAGGGTGGTAATGTGGCATGCGATTCAGAATTATCCTCACTCACTAGCCCCCATAAAGTTTTATTGTAAAGGAAACAGGGTATCAAAACCTTCAAAGAGAAAAACAGATTCAGCAACCAATAAAGTGTCTGGGAAAAAAAAAAGAGTACTAGGGGAAGCCTCAGTACGAACCTAATCTGGAGGAGAGTTCTGTCTTCTACTCATCGAACATGCTCCTTTTTATTATAAACAGTTTGTGCCACCAGAAAAGAACAAAACTAATTGGGACATATGCGCCCCTTGCCTTAATCTGCTCAGCTAGCCTAGCAGACAACTTCAGAACAAACTTCAAACACAAAGGTAATTTTATGAAACCATTCAAGTTATCAAAAATAGAAAAACAGCACTAACCCATACATTGGGTTACAAGCATCTTTTCAGTTTTACTGGATAATGTAAGTGATTGATAAAACTTTTAAATTATGGCAGGCCTGAAAAATTAAAGACGGGTATCTTTTTCTTGTTGCTATTTTGCAGTCAACAGACTCTAATACAAAAGCACACTTCCGTTCCTTTGTCAGCTTGGGTTGGGCTGCGAGCTTTCTGCTCTTCCTCTCTCCTCATCCCAGAGCGAGTGACATTCTATTAGCATCATAAGACAAAGATGTAAACGCCAGGGAGGGGCGCTCTGGACTCCAGCGGGTCTTTTCTCAGTTAAATAGAGGATAAGATTCTCGTCTGAAACCCACGAAAAAGGACGGCCAGAATGCATAGCTTTTAAAATAGGTGTTTTACCTACGCATACAGATGACAGTTAAAATACATTGAGGTGCTTTCTCTCACTTCAAATTCCATCAGTGTTGTTAATCGTCCCATTTTATGCCCTTTTCTTCCTCTTTTCTCTAGACCAGTGGGTCTCAAAGTGTGGTCCTAGGTCAGCATCACCTGGGAACTTGTTAGAAATGCACATTATCAGGCCCCACTCTGGACCTCAGGAATCAGAAACTCTGGGAGACAGGGTTCGGCAAGGTGCTATAACCTCCAGGTGACTGGAACGGACCCTGAAGTTTCAGAACCAATGATTTCCGCCAGTGTTATTTCTATAACCACAAATAGATTATTTTTTACAGAACACAAAAGTGTAGACTAGTAAACTGAGTCCCCTACGCACTTTACATAAACTCTCATTTGATCCTCAAACCCGATGCAAGATAAATGTTATCCCCACGTGAGGGATGAGGAAACCGGCTCAAGATCCCAAAGCTAAGAACCGCAGGTGGAAGACTAAAGTTTTCGCAGTTCTTTTCACTACTGAAACAAAGGTCCGTCGCGCTTTATTAACAAAGTCCCTATCTTTTGCTTTTTCGGCAATTCGGAAAAAAAATAGAAACGGACGGGTGAGAGCAGTTTGCCAGCTGCCTCGGATTCTACCGAATCGGAATTTAGGGGCATGACACTGGAAAGACATTTTTCCAATAAAGACGTTTAATTCGGTTGCGGTCCCTCCTATCTTTGTCCGGGGGACTGCGCGCATCCCACAGAGAAGGGGTCGGACCCTCAGGGTGGGGACGCGGGCGGCATCCCGGCGAGCGGCCACCGCTCCGCCGCAGCCCGGCATCCCCGATGCGACAGGTTGTGTGCGCGAAGGGAGCCCGCCGGCCGGGCCCGGGGGAAACTGGCAAACCCCAAAGCCGCGGGGGGGGGGGGGAGGGGGGTGCGTCTAACCCGACACCGCAGCTCCGGGGAGGCTGGGGCGAGCGGTGAACCCGACACCGCCGAGGGCCGCGCGGGAACAAACCGCACATCCCACTGGGTCGGAGAGAAGCGCAGGCTGGCCTGGCGGGGAAGGGGGAGCCCCGGGAGCCGCACACGGGCTGGGGGAGGACGAGCGGGCCAGCACTCACTGTGAGGGTCGCTCTTCTCCCGGACCCCGTCCACTCGGCCGTCGGGGTGGATGCGCAGGAAGAAGCCCCCGTTTTTGCAGTAGAGCCGCTTGGGGTCCTTGAAGTGGCCGGGCGGGAAGGCGCCGCTGCCGCCGTCCTCGGGCAGGGCGGGCAGCGTGGTGATGCTCCCGGCTGCCATGGCCCCGCCGGGGCCCTGCCGGGGCCCCCGAGCCCCTGGAGCCGCGCGGGGAGCCGCCGCCCCCCGGCCCCGGCCCCGGCCTCCGACCCGCTCCGGGGCGCGGCCCCGGCCCCGGCCCCCCAGCCTCCCTCCCGGCGGCGCGCGGCCGCGCCCGCGGGCCCCCAGCCTCGCGCCGCTCGGCCGCTGCCCTCCGCCGGCCCCGGCGCGGCGAGCCGCTGGGGTTGGGGCTGGGTGTCTCCGCGGCCGCCGCTCTCGGCACAGCCGCCTCCCCAAGCTGCAGCGCCCGGGATCCGGTTGCAACCGCGGGCACCGCGTCCGCTGGTCTGGCGCCCGCCGGGCCGCGGCGTCACCTCTTCTACATCTCCACCCCCAACACCCACCAACCCACTACGCCCCCGGCTCTCCTCCCTCCCCGCGCGCCGCCCCCTACTCGCTCGGGGTTTTCTGGGGCCGGCCTCTGGGTCGGGCGCTCTGGCCGCAGCACGCAAGCGCGCGACATCAGACCCGGAGGGGAGCCCGGACGCGGCCGAGGGCGGGGGGCGCGCCGGGAGGCCACGGCCGAGGCCTCCCCAGCTCCAGGGGCTTGGGCCCGCTCGGTCCCCAGGAGTCGCCCCAGCCCAAACCCGCGCCACCCAAACCACATTTAGCCCTTCGCCACACGGCCGAGCTTTCTCCGTGCAGTCAGCCGTGACTCAACTTTTAAAAGTTTAAATGCAACTTTCTCCCCCATTCTTTTTCGTTGCCAGCGTTCCTAAGCGGAGAAACTATTTCCACCCCCAAGAAGCAGAGGAATCGGAAGCGAGGGAGGATTCTGTGTCAGGGTAGGTTTTGCACATCGGTAATCACCAAAAAGACAAGGGATACGTGCGGGGCACGGACTGTGAAAAGCGAAGGTAGAGACTGAAATAGTTTACCAACAAAAGGAAAGAAAGAGGCCAGAGGCGGGGAGCGGATTGGGTTGCTAAGAGCAAAAGGTTTTCTTTTACCAGCCTAACTCGAATTAGACAACGTGGAAAGATGAAGATGGGCCTAAGCTCCTTATCGTGATAGAAGCCTGCTAATGTCTTATTCCTAAACTGGCACTAGTCCCAGCTAAATTGTTAGGCATTTCTTGGAAGGAAGATAGTTTTCTGAAATTTCCAAACTATAAAATTGAAGTTACCTGCACTTTGGGAATTTGCAGTAGAATATAACAGTTCCTACAAATTAGCACGTTATCCGTCCCCAAAACATCATATACTGAGGCCTGCTACGTGCAAAGCATTTCGGTAAGTTGGGTGGAGCTGCCCAATCAGGCGGGACCTTCGCGCACAGCGAGGAAGGTACGATGAGGGGCGGGGTACCAGTAGAGAGTGTCCAGGCCATGCAAGAGTAGGAAGTGTCCTAAGATTCAGACAAGCGGTAATTCTGCTTGGGGGGAGTAGGGGGTAGGGAATGCTTCTACGAAGAGGTGAAAATACAGACCTTCCGCTATTTAGGAACATGTTTGGTTTCAAAAGATCATCCATGAGTGCCTGTGTTGCTAAGTCTCTAGAAGGGGTTACACTCTAGAGGAATTTCTAGGATGTTAGTTAAAAGGATGAGCTGATTCTTTGGAGCTTTAAAACCAGGGATACTCTTCTCTGGGCTGGTGTGTGTTCTCTGACATCTATCTCCAAAACGGACAGGTTTTACCTGCATTGACAAGCTGCTAAGACAAATAGCTCCCTTCCGAATGGTTCTCTAGGCATCCTGGGGAGAGCTTAATGCTACTGTAGCACTTAGCAGGTTGCCGCTTACTTTGAAATAAAGTAAATTTGAATAAACCTTGAATTCTGAGTCAGAGAAACCTAAGTATTCCAAGAGCAAAGGGATAAAATGTAAGTCAAAATATTTTTTAACCATAGCATCCAGAAATTTGGGGAATAGCTACAAGCAGCTGAGAGATTTATATGCTAATGAAACATGGATCGTGTGGAACTGCATGCCATGTACAATAACCCCTTGTTTCCTAGTTCCTTCCAAAACCAGGAAAGGATTTATCACAGGAAATTGTTAGTCCAGCTCTGGGAATCCAGGTCTCCAAGATAAATAGTGTTAATTGCAAGAAGACATCATTAAGATAGCTGTCTCAAGTTCCTCCCCAGCCCCAGCTCAGCACACACTTGTACACACACACGGGGGCAGACACACTATTCTTAGATGCAATCAGTTTGCTCTCAGCTGAACCATGAACACTCAAATTACTTACATGCTCAGTTTGCCCAACTATAAGGATAAATACAAAGATAAAGGTAACTTTGAAAAATAAATAGAACCAATAGAATTTTGTGAGATAATGGATCCAAAACTCATTATTTTTAAAAACCACTAGGTTCCAGTGATATCTATTTAGAAACTATAAAGGCAAGAGTAATTTCCCTCACAATACCAAGATAAATTACTATGGAATTAATAAAAATTGTTCAGAATCTAAATGATGAAAACAACAAGGATTTAATGAAAGCTTTAGAAAAAAGCTTCAAATGTTCCTGGATGGAAACATATAGTAAAATAACGATGTGCAATTCCTCTAGCCATATTTTAAGCAATACTTGTTTAAATTTTAACACAATTTTAAAAACTATCCAACAGTACTGTAAAATTCATTTGGACAAATAAACATATAAGAATAGCAAATACATTTTTTTTAATCATAGGGAAAACTGTGAAAGATTTTTAAATAGACAAAAAAAGATTACTAAATATCTTCAATGGAAAATTAGGCATTGTCTAGGTTATCTGATTCTATGGGGTCTTTGTACCTTTCATTGTGTTTGAGTGACTTTATGACTCTTGTAAGTTGTAGATAGCTGTCATGGACTGAATTGTGTCCACCCCAAATTCCCGTGTTGAAGTTCTAACCTCCAACATGACTGTATTTGGAGACAGGGCCTTTTAAGGAGGTAATTAAGGTTAAATGAGGTCATATGGGTGGGTTCCTAATCCAATAGGATGGACATCCTTATAAAAAGGGGAAAGACACTAGGACTGTGCACAGAGGAAAAAATCCATGTCAGGTCACAGCGAGAAGGCTGCTGTCTGCAAGTCAAGGAAAGAGGCCTCACCAGAAACCAGCCTTGCCAGTGCTTTTATTTCAGACTTCCAGCTTCCAGAACTGTGAGAAAATAAATTTCTGTTGTTTAAACCACCAGTCTGTGGTATTTTGCTTTGGCAGCCCTAGCATATTAATATAATAACCAGTAACATGCACATGAATTATGTTTGGCGGAAGGACACTGATTTCCTTCCTGTGATGGTTATTTTTATGTGTCAACTGGACTGGGCTAAGATGAGTCCACACAGCTGGTAAAACATTATTTCTGGGTGTGTCTGTGGGGGGCGTTTCCAGCAGAGATTAAAATTTGAACCAGTAGATGGAGGAGTAAAGAAGATTCGCTCTCATCAATGCCAGTGGACCTCGTTCAATCTGTTGAGGACTTCAACTGAACAAAGAGGTGAAGGAAGGGTGAATTCTCTCTCTCTTTTCTTGAGCTGGGACATCCATCTTCTCTTACCCTCAGACATCAAAATTCCTGTTTATTGGGCCCTCAGACTCCAGGATTCAGACCAGCAATTTTCTGATTCTCAGGCCATCAGCCAAAGACTGGGGTCACACCATGGGCTTCCCTGATTCTCAGGCCTTCAGATTCAGAATACCATAAATCATTAGCTTTTCTCGTCCTCCAGCTTGCAGATGGCAGATTATGGAACCTCTCAGCCTCCAAGACCGTGTCAGCCAATTCCTATAATAAACCTCCTCTAATATATATCAGTATATACTTACTGGTTCTTTTCTCTGGAGAACTCTGATTAACATACCTATGGAACATTCCTCAACCTATGGAATAAGCCAGTTTTGCATCCATTTGTAAATTCATTTCAGCATTCCTTCTGCCTTGATATGTGTGGCTCGTTGAATGAGCCTGTTGCCACATCTTACTGGTTTCCTCATTAATTAATGAGATAATGTAAACTTCATATTTGTAAGAGGTATAAATGTTCATATTCGCGTTCTGTCTGCATAAGAGTCATGATTTTACCTTAAAAAATATATCCTTTAAAATAATGGGTGTAATGAGGAGAAACTTGCCCTTCTAGATGTTAAAAGATATTATAAACTTATCATATATAAACCATTGTGGAACTGATGCATGCACTAATTGAAAGATCAATGTAAGGATTAAAATTTCAGATGTATCTGAACTGATTGTATAATAAGCTGCTACCAAAACAATTTTTTTTTTAATTTTAGTATCACTAGTAATCAAAAGTGCATATCAAATAATCAAAAAACTTCCCAAAGAGAAGAGCACTGGTGAATTCTAACAAATGTTTAAGGAAGAATTAACACTACTTCTTCAGAAATTCTTCCAAAAAAAAATAGAAGAGGAGGTAATACTTCCTAACTCATTCAAGAGGCTAATATTACATTGACACCAAAACCAACAAAGACATCACAAGAGCAAAAAACTATAGACCAACATCCCTTATGAATATAGACGCAAAAATCCTCAACAAATCACTATCAGACAGAATCTAGCAACATACAAAAAGGATTAGACATTATGTCCAAGTGAGATTTATTTCAGGAAGCCAAGGTTGGTTAAACATAAGAAAATCAGTCAACATAAAACACCATAATAATAGAATAAAGGGTAAAAAAACACACGATCATCTCAATAGACATTTTAAAAGTATTTGAAAAAATTCAACACCCTGTCGTGATAAAAAAACACTCAATAAACTAGAAATAGAAAGGAACTTCTTCAACTTGATGAAGGGCATTTATGAAAAGCCCATGCTAACAGGATACTTAAAATGGTAAAAAACTGAAAGTTCCCTCCTGAGATCAGGAACAAAACAGAAATTTTCACTCTCACCACTTCTATTTAACATTATAGTAGAGGTTCTAGCAAGGGCAACTCGTCAAGAAATGAAATAAAAGGCATCCAGATTGCACAGGAAGAAGTGAAACACTTAGGAATAAATCTAACCAAAGAAGTTCAAGACTTGTATAATGAAAACTGCGAAA